AAAAAAAAAAATATCCCCATTTTATTTCTATAAATGTCTATTTTAATTGAACACGCCCACCAGACTCATTTACATTCCTACAAATACTAGTCAAAATATTTTAATTTTTTTTAGTACCATAATAGAGATTATAATACTTTCTGTATTTCTATTTAGACTAGAACATTATTTCCGAGCACTTTTGAGACTATAGAAAAGTACTTCAGCAAAACTATTGCCCACAGATATGTATAAATTATTTAAACCCATAGAAACCTGTCCATGGCTAAGTCCAATGGTCTTATTATTATTATGAGATAGGCACAATAATTTCATGACAGTTTGAAAAGTAAAAATGACTCCAAGACATATGTAAAGATACAAATTTACTGAAACTTTATATAATTAGATAGATGTTAATTTATTAAAAAAAAAAAACAGTTATTCATTTTAACTTTAAACCTTTTACTGCATATACATTGTAGATAAATAATGCATAAAACCAAAATATAATGAATGGATCTTTTTTTCAATGAAAAAAAAGTCATCATAAATAAGTTAAGGGAATTTAATATCAGTGGTCTCTTTGGGTTGATAAATTCATCTTTGTTGTACTTTGTTTTTAAATTATGAATATTTAAAGCAGAATTATATTTCAGGTGCAGATGTTATTTGAATTACAGGGTGTCTGACTTGCAACTTTTTATTTACTTTTTTTTAAATATTGAATTAATATAATTCATAATATATTTATTTATAAATATTGTAATTTTAATTCATATGTTTATTATTATAATTCAAATTATAAACTGAATTCTTAAATTGTAAAAAAAGAAAGCAAACCTGAAACCTGTTTAAATTAGCTACTTTTTATACGTCCTGTATATAGTGTCTTCATTTGTTGCCATTAGGGAAAGTTATTAATTTAAATTTCCCTATGTGCTTTTTTCCATCACCAGTCATGTTAATTTCATCTTGTTACAGTGGAACACAAAAAAGTGCAAAGTTAATGTTAAACAAGCTTTTTCATTATAATTAATTTTATTCCTGTCAAGAGAAAGGGATAATATACATCTTCCTTGCAAGGGCTGGATTAACAACAATGGGGTCCCCACTTGGCCCTACATTGACAACAATTTCTTAATTTTACATTTGTTCCTCTTAGGCTCCATCTGTCCAATGAGGCAATGGATTCGGCCATTGAGGACTGCTTGATGCAGAACAGTGTCAACCGAGGCTGAACAACCATATTTTTGAGAGGCAGTCCCTTACACAGCTGTTACATTTGAAGATAGATGGCTGCTGCAGATTTTAATTTTTATTTAGTGACTGAATATTTGCATGTTGTTAAAATATCTACCTCTATGTTGTAAATATGAAGCACTTTAACAAGTTTCTGAATGTTTTATTACTTCACGCAATCCACATTATACAAGATATTAAACTAGACACAGGTCATTGACATTGCAAAAGCATGTGACAGTTGAAAAGTCAGGTAAATGAACCTTGACAATTTCAGCTATTCAAGAACATTGTGGAATGTATATAAAATAAATCCACTTCCCATTAGGCAACTTAACTTTAAAAACAAGAAGTAAACTAGAACAGTTTTCTTGGTTTAAGACACCTACAAAAATAGTTTTAATATGATAAATATTTTTTTTTGTAAGTTGTGATTTTTTTTTTACATTAGGTTATTAAGTCTGGATTTCTGGGATGATTGTCCTCATCCTTGTTGTTATCAAAACATTTTTGGCTGTTGTGTCCTCTTCCCTTGATTGTTGATCTGAGTAACCTACAAGGAATTCTGACTTTATTTAATCTACAGTGCCAGACTTTTCGTTCCTCTGCCCATGTCTAGAGATATCTTGTCTAGTTCTTATTTATAGTACACACTGCCTGGCAAAGAGATTGAACTCGCAATTTCTATGTCGCCAAATTCATGAACCAACACTTTAATCCACTACAGGACAATAGCCTAGTGGATTAGATCATTGGTTTATAAATTTAGTGATTGGAAGTTCAGTCCCTTCGCCAGGCAGTGTGCATTTGAACTGTGGTAACAGGGCGAGCAATATGACGAGATATCCCTAGGCATGGGCAGTGGTATGAGAACAGTCTAACCCTGTAGATTAAATAAAGGGTTCTTTTGTAGTTTACCCAGATCAACAATCACCTGATGACAGCTAGAGGGCACAACAGCCAAAATGTGATAATATCAACAAAGATAAGGACAATAGTCTGCTTGTAAATAGTGTAAATAGCATGTTGAGTTTTATGGCAAATATAATATGATCAATACAAGGCATAATACTTTCGAAAGAAAAAAAAAAAAAAAATGACCATGATGCCTCTTTCTCTTTTGGTGCCCTTATAAACTCTTATTTTATTTAATGGTTAATCTGGCCCTGTTTTCTTGTTTATAATGGATTCTACAACGATATGTAATGAAAATTTGATGTGGTTCACTGGTGAAACTGCATGGCATCGACATTTGGGGAGAAAACATCAGATTAAAATATTGTGATTTATATTAAAAAAAATTGTGATGCATATTAAACTATATTGTGATTTTTAAAATAAACTTAATGCATTGTGATTTATATTAGAAATTTGCAACAAAGTGAAGCACAACAATCCAAACAAACTTCTTGGATATTAACACTTACATTCCAACCATTTTTTTTTTTTTTTTTTCCAAAACAATTTAATGTCTTTTTGTCTTTGATCTTTGCCAACACACCATTTCAGTCGATCCATTCTATGGCCTTTCCTCAGGTATCCTGTCTAAAAGAGAGGATAGTATGTCTCTTTCTGACAGTGTAAAAAAAAAAAAAAAAAAAAAAATTAAATTTTTTTTTTTAAAGTTTCATCTAAGCAAAAATGCTTCTAAAATCTTTTCTTCTCATGTGTACAGCTAGTTTCAATGGCAATGTGCTAAGATCTTTTCTATTTCAAATTCTCCAATTCCTTTGTTGAACAAAGCGAAAGTACATGGTGTTGAAATTTCATACTAGCTCATCTTAGGATTGGCTGAAACCAGTCAGCAAGATCAAAGACATGAAGAAGAGATTAAATTTTCCAAGATGATGTTGGAATGTTAACGACTCTCTCTCAAACTCATAAACAATGCAATTTTACATTAGATTTTGACTTCACACTTGTCAGAGTGATAATAATGAATTAGAAAATGTTTGGGACAAACTTCTCAACTAAATCAACTGTAAAGGACATTGTCAGCTTGAAGTTAAGTATTTTTTTCTACATATATTTTTTTTAATCTTACTGCTGTGATGCATACTGCTGTGAAGTTCTACCTCCATTAATTGAAAGTATTGGCACTAGGTGGCCAAATCTGCAGGTGTAACAAATGAAAACCTCTATCTCTCATACACACACTAACCATTTTTCTCGGTGACATTTGGACTCTCAGTCTGTATCTGCAAATTTACTATCTTATTTCATAGGCAGTATCCTCTCTCATTACTTATATGTTTCAAGGTAGGCTAGATTTATAGGTAAAAGTGCTCAATATTCAGAATAGATACTGTTGACTCTTACATTTACATGATGAGTGTTTCATGCTTGAACACAATCTCAGGCCATGTGTGTTGGATTATGTGGTAGTTGAGTTACCATCCAACACACATGGCCTGAAGATTGTGTTCAAGCATGAAAGAAGATGACCAACAAGGCACTGCAATTAAGTTTTTTATGATATTTCTCTTGCATTTGTAGAAGAGATTTCTTTTTTTGGATAGTATATGTAAGAACTGTCCAAATGTTTCCTGGATCCAATTACTTTTGGCTAAACTATTAGTCATTAAGGATTTTTTTTTTTTATAGCAATAGAAATGTTTTAATTCTCAAACACAGTCAGCACATTGTGACCGGGTTCATAATTATAAGGGTCTATATATATAT